ACCTGTTGCTGCTGTTTGCCCACCAACTCCTAGGCAGCTAGAATTAAAAAAGCTTTCATGTACACACTTCAGATCTTCCGGTGTAAAACAGTCTTGCAAATGACTGTAGAGCCCACGGAACGACTGCCAGGATACACCCTCAACAAAGCTTCTAGCTACCCACAGCTGCATCCAGGTAATTGACAGGACTGGAGAAGGGGAGTGAGTGTCACTCATATTGTAATTAAGTCCCACTAAGCACACAGAAGGCATCTGTGAAAGGGATTCATCAGGTTGATTTAAGCTCTGAAAGGCCGTACTTTCTTACATTTCAAAAAATCAATTTGCTCTGTCTTACCACATTAAGACTGGAAAGCTTCTGTGCAACATGTCCCCAGACATAACCAATAAGAGGCTTACATAGAAGGCTTAACCATTCTACTCATTTATTGTGAATCTTCTGCAGCTTCCTTCAAAGCAAGGCTGTTCTGAAAAAAATACGTTGATGGTAGGTTGGTTGTCCTTACCCACTTACACAGGTTTCTTTGTTAGGATGAAGTCAAACTGAATACATCCTCTCTAAGAAGTACTGGTTTTGAGTATGGTTTTGCTCATCTTGCTGTGGATTATCTTGTGGAGCACCTGGCCACTGTTCTCCTCCTCCAACTCAGAAGACTGTTAAAAGATAAGCAGAGCATCTCCAACTTTGGACTTCGAAATTATCTTTTCATCTTCTTGTGCGTAGCCTCTTACGAATGGTGCTTGAACTCTGTAGGTGTACTTTGAAACAAAACTATGGTTTGGGGCAGTTTGTAAGCTGCATAGTAATGCACAGTATAGAAACACCTTCAAGTACATCTTCAAGCAACAGAGTTGAAAGGATCCGTCATTTTAGGGAGATATTCAGTTGTCACAACTGCATCCATTTTATAATGTAGTAATTTTTCTTTCCAATCCTAAGCAAGGATACTCCATTCTTGAGAATATGCTGTCCGAGAATAAGAACAGTCTCAGGATTAGTTACTCTAATCCCATTTATTGAAACTCCACCATCTGTAATTTTCTGGTACCTTTAAAACAAACAAACAAACAAAAAAACCAATAACTGGCAATTGCAAGAGGAAGCTATATATTGCTGTTAAGTATTGAAAGTTCAGTTAAAGGGTTTTTGGTTGGATTCATAGTGGAGTAAGCTTTACTTTCAGCCCAGGTCAAGAGTGACTGAAATTAACCTTAGCCTCTACCACTCCCCTTCTTTCTGATAGGAATAAGGAAACTTAGGCTGTTGCCTTAGGCTGTCCCTTCATCAGATGTAGATTTTACAGCTAAAGGTAGACGAGACTGCATTATCCTACACTTTTACTTCAAAATGGAATGAGGCCACCTGCTCCCCTCTTCTTTAATGCTGCTCTGTAGGTCGCTAGCCTGTTACTACTTGATTTGTCTGTCCTGATTGTTTAACTTCTGAAAGCACACCACTACAACCTGTTCAAGTGAGGTATTACTGAAGACCACCAGTGATAACATACCCACTAGGTCCATCTGGAATGGCATTTGCTTTCCGACACAAGTCAAGAACATTCATTCCAGGTTCAAGCATCAATTCAGCTGAAGGAGCTTGTCTAAAAAGTTCCTGTAACTCTTGGTCAGACATAGCTTCCAATGCCTCCATGCTGCTGTAGTAAAGGGCCTTTGTGCACCTGTGAGAACAAAGATCAATCAAAGCACAGTGCTAGTCTCGCCTTCACACGGAGTGCTACTCAACTAACCAGATTCCCCTCGCCAACTTCTTCTGAGGGTCTGCACAGTAACAGAAGTACTTAAAAGTCAACCTCAATATTTTTATTGCAATCCATTGCACTGCAATTTCCTTTTATATTGTTAATGTATTTTTAGGTCTACAGATTTACCACCTTATTCTCTCTTAACAGCTCAGCAACAACTATCTACATGAAAATGGTGCCTGAAAAGCTGTGGACAATTACCACAGAAAAAATCTGAAAGAAAACTGCTCGACAAATCAAACTTCACCTCTTAGCAGATTCTAGCCCCTCTCTGCCGTGAACGAGCTTGGTTACTTCTGCAGCAAGTCGTTTCTGAGGGCCCCATTTTTCAGGTTCTTTAGCGTGCATTTCCATGACGTGGTCAATCTCCTCAAGAGGAAGGAAGGTGAAGAGTTTCAGGTATCTACAACCAGGGAAAAAAAAATATTTTGTCTATGTAGCCATCATGACAGATTTCCTGCCTTTGTCATTCAAACTTCATTAACTCCACCAAAACGATTCTTAGTCAACTTAAGAAACCTGCGTTACAGATATTCTGTCCTTTTAAATAACTTTGGTTTTGCCCATATGCTTCAGCTTACTGGGATAACTCACGTTTTATTTCATATTCTGCCTAGGGCAATGTCTTCAGCCATAAGATAGGGTCAGATGCTTTTATGAAGTTTTTATTGCAATCAACAACTTGGTCTTCTCTTGAAACATTTCTAGGATTTATTGCAATTGTGTGCCAACTAAGCAGGTTTTATATTATATTCTTAGTGGTTGTACAATATTGTAATGCAAAGTTCCACTGCCAGTCTGTGGTGTTCGTGGGACAGAAGTATGCTATGTACTGACAAGTATCTCAGCATGAAGATTGTTTTGGATCGTCAAGAATATAAAGGTGAGTATCTAAGCATACTCTTTACAAAGTCCATTTTAATGGGCTTGCCAACCCATGGAATGTAGTGTATTAAAAAAAAAAAAGGCACCTTTACTGTTACAAAGTCTGAAGGCATGAAATATTTTAATGTTAAGTACCCACACCCCCACCTTTTCAGTCTGAAAGGTGTTGTGGATAGAGAACCTGAATTTTAAAGTATCAGGGAATAAACCTTTCAGAGAGGTAACTGTGTTATGGGACAGGTCACAATATGAAAGGGAAGTACCTGACAGAGGCTGATGAAAACTGAGATTTGATACCGATATTGACGTTTTAAGAAAAGCAGCTTTAAAAGAGAACATAGAGCAACTTACTAAAAGGAACCTAAAGCCCCAAATAAAGCTACTGGCTTTATTTTTTTTTCTTTTTCATTTTCAGCCATGTCTCTGGCTCAACTGCACTGAAGGCCAGCCATCAATGAAGGCAACCTGTTAAATGGTATTTGTCATATTTTCACTACCCTTTCATGTTCTCGTTATAGGATTTTAATATTTTACACTGGTCAGTAAGAGTATGAGTTATGTGTGGTTGACTTGGATTCAGAGACAGCACAATGAATCCAAGACCACCTTTTGCTCATTAGAATCGTTGTACTCTAAGGAAATGATAATTCATAATTTTGTCTTTGTACATGCTACAGCTTTAAGTAGTAGTTGGATATCCTTCCAGGTTTTGGTTCCTTACAATCTCATCTGCTTTACAGATCAATCCACTTGCCATTGTAATTAGAAGCAGAAATCTTTGCTTCCATGTTCCAAGATGAGAAAGATGAGCAGTTAACTACTTAATGCTTGAGAGTTTCTTTGAAGAGTCAGAATGATGCAAATAGTTCCTGTGTGCAATTTTCAAAAATATCCGCTAAAATTTCCATGCAAGGTATGGGAAGAGAACATCAAACAGCCTTAAGGTTTCACCATGTTAGTTCTATTGGTCTGCTACTTAAGGCAAAGTAACAAGGAACACAAGCTGATTGTGAGAGCTAAGAGGATACACAGGCTTTTTTTAAGGTAGGAATGACTCTATGACCTCTTGTTTTTCTTTATATAACAGAGATTGGGTTAGAGATACCTTCTTGTCAGGCAGATAAGTGGGATCTAGAAACTGAAATCACTAACTCCATGTGTTGACCTACGGAAAGTGCTATCGTATTACAGTTTAGTAATCTGAAGAAAGTGATGTATAAACAGCAAGACACTATATCACTATTGAAATCTTGAATGACAGTGCGAATAAAGCTAACATCAAGTTGATCAATCTTAAGTAAAAACAAAACAAGACCAAAAAAACCACCAAAAACCAAACAAAAACTCCCCACCCAGCTATAGAATGTCTGGATTCTTTAGACATGTTAACATTTCTTATGATTTCCCCATTCTTCTCATAGGCTGGGTGGTTTTAAACCAGCTGAAATATCAAGACTTATTCCAAGAACATAAGAGATGGTGATGAGTTCCCACATTTGGGTGGGTAAGATTAAGGCTTGTGGCTGCTGTGACTGCAAAACTGTATTGTCTCAGAGTTTCATGGTCTAGGAAATGATTCTCCTTGGCCTAAGAGTGAGGGTGATCTCATTGGCATCATGGAGACATGGTGAGATGGCTCCTATGATTGGAGTGTTGGAGTGAAAGGACACAGGCTCTTTAGGAAGGAGAGGCAGGGAAGACGAGTAACAGGTGTTGCTCTCTATGTCAATGACCAGCTTGAGTGCATGGAGCTCCACCTGGGGATGGATGAGGAGCCAACTGAGACCTTGTGGGTCAGGATTAAAGGGAAGGAGGGGACAGGTAACATTATAGTGGGGGTCTGCTACAGGCCACCTGAACTGGAAGACAGAGCAGATGAGGCACTCTATAGACAGATAGGAGCAGCCTCACATTCTCGAGCCCTGGTCTTCCTATGGGACTTCAACCACCTTGATATATCTTGGTGGGACAACACTGCAGGGCATAAGCAGTTCAGGAGGTTCCTGGAATGCATTGATGGTAACTCCCTTCTCCAAGTGACAGAGGAACTGAGGAGAGGTGCTATGCTGGACTTTGTTCTCACCAATAAGGAGGGGATGGCAGGGAACGTGAAGCTCAAGGGCAGCCTTGGCTGCAGTGACTATGAAATGGTGGAGTTCAAGATTCTTAGGGCTTCAAGGAGGATGCACAGCAAGCTCAGTACCTTGGCCTTCAGGAGACTTTGGCCTCTTCAGGGATCTGCTTGGTAGAGTGCCATGGGATAAAGCCCTGGAGGGAACAGAGGTCCAAGAAAGCTAGTTAATCTTTGAGGATCACTTCTTCCAAGCTCAGGATAGATGCATCTCAACAGAGAGAAAGTCAGGCAAAAGCACCAGGAGGCCTGCATGGATGAACCAGGAGCTCCTGGACAAACTCAAACACAAAAAGGAAACCTACAGAGGGTGGAAGCAAGGGCAGTTAGTCTGGGGTGAATACAGAGAAATTGTCCGAGCAGCCAGGGATCAGGTTTGGAAAGCTAAACCTCTGATAGAATTAAATCTGGCTGGGGATGTCAAGGGCAACAAGAAAAGCTTCTATTGGTACGCTGATGATAAAAGGAAGAGCAGGGAAAATGTAGGCCCTCTGAGGAAGGAAGCAGGAGACCTGGTTACCTGTGATATGGAAAAGGCTGAGATATTCAACAATTTTTGCCTCAGTCTTCACTAAGGAGAACCGCCCACTGTAGGAGAAGATGAGGTTCAAGACCATCTAAGGAACCTGAAGGTGCACAAGTCTATGGGATCTGATGAGATGCATCCACAGGTCCTGAAGGAACAGGCAGATGAAGTTTCTAAGCCACTGTCCATCATATTTGAGAATTTTTGGCAGTCCAGTAAAGTTACCATTGACTGGAAAAGGGGAAACATAACCCCCATTTTTAAAAAGGGAAAAAATGAAAACCTGGGGAACTACAGGCCAGTCAGTCTCACCTCTGTGCCCGACAAGGTCATGGAGCAGATCCTCCTGGAAACTATGCTAAGGCACATGGAAAATAAGAGTGTGATTGGTGACAGCCAAGATGGCTTCACTAAGAGCAAATTGTGCCTGACTAATTTGGTGACGTTCTATGATGGAGTTACAGTGTTGGTGAATAAAGGGAGAGCAACTGATGTCATCTACCTGGACTTCTGCAAAGCATTTGACACTGTCCCACATGACATCCTTGTCTCTAAATTGGAAACACATGGATTTGATGAATGGACCACTTGGTGGATAAGGAATTAACTGGATGGTGGCACTCAAAGAGTTGTGGTCAATGGCTCGATGTCCAAGTGGAGACCAGTGACGACTGCGATTCCTTGGGAGTTGATATTGGGACTGGCTCTGTTTAAAATCATTGTTGGCAACATGGTCAGTGGGATTGGGTGAACCCTCAGCGAGTTTGCAGATGACACCAAACTGTGTGGTATGGTTGACATGCTGGAGAGAAGGGATGCCATCCAGAGGGATCTTGACAGGCTGGAGAGGTGGGCACATGTGAACCCCATGAAGTTCAACATGGCCAAGGGCAAGGTCCTGCACATGGGTCAGGGCAATCCCAAGCACAAGCACAAATTGGGCGGAGAATGGATTGAGAGCAGCCCTGAGGAAAAGGACTTGGGAGTGCTGGTGAATGAGAAGCTCAACAGAAAGTGAACCGTATCCTGGGCTGCATCTAAAGAGGTTGAGGCCAGCAGGTTGAGGGAGGTGATTCTTCCCCTCTACTCTGCTCTTGTGAGATCTCACCTGGAGTCCTTCATTCCAGTCTGGGACCCTCAACATAAGAAGGATACGGAGCTGTTGGAGCGAGTCTCAAAGAATGGCTTGGGTTGGGAGAGACCTTAAAGATCATCTAGTTCCAAATGCCCTGTCACAGGCAGGGACATCTTCCCCTAGATCAGGGCACTCAAAGCCCCATCCAGCCTGGCCTTGAACACCTCCAGGGATGGGGCATCCACAGCTTCTCTGGGAAACCTGTACCAGTGCTTCACCACTGTCAGAGTAAGGAATTTCCTCCTTAGATCTAATTGAAATCTACCCTCTTTCAGTTTAAATCCATTGCCCCTGTCCTGTCACTACAAGCCCTTGTCAAAAGTCCCTCTCCAGCTTTCTTGTAGGCTCCCGGAAGGCTGCTAAAAGGTCTCCCCAGAGCCTTCTCTTCTCCAGGCTGAACAATCCCAAGTCTCTCAGCCTGTCGGCACAGGAGAGGTGCTCCAGCCCTCAGATCATCTTCATGACCCTCCTCTGGACTTTTGACTGACTTACTGCTTCAGTTTAACAAAATAATTAGTCTGCTTTAATTCAGTGAGAGTAGTAGAAGATCCTGAAAAAACTTTGGAAATCCCATATTCTTGGTATTCTTTGATGCTTCCCTAAAGCACTGTAGTAGCAGGAAGTCAGTAGTAGGTGGTTTGTTTTTTTTTTTTTTTTTTTAAAAAAAAGAGAAAAAGTGTGAACAACGTTATTGAATATGGGAAATAATATTATGTCCTT